AAAAAAGGTGAAATTTTGGAAAAGAAGATAAAAAAAAGTGTCCACCCGCCCTGACAAGGGACAACTCTAGAACAGTTGGGAATTAAATAAATATGGGAGAGAATACAACATAATATAGTTATTAGTATTTAATTCCTTCACTATGTATGGTTACTCTAACTAGAATTTATCATATGATATTTTCATTCCAAAATAAATATGCATAATAATTTGTAAAACATACTCGTTCCAATTTCTCGCCAAACTCCAATTTGGGTCCAACTTTATGGTAACATGAATTTGCATTTATCTTACAAATTAAGACAAAATTTATTTTCCCACCCCTCCTCTTCTTTCGGAAATACAATGAAATTTTTATGCACAACAGAAGTGAACCTGATCAAATATTTTTAATTTCACTAAAAAGATAATTATGAGGGATTCATATTCATACATATAGATATATCATATATATATATATATAGAGATAAATTAGATTTACAGATATAGTTGCTAATTATAGAATTTCGTCCTCTAGCCAAATAAATTGAAATCCATGTTTCTTCTGAATTTTTCCCGAGAGAATAAATAAATTGGATTTCGTCCCCTAATATTCTGTTTTTAAATTTAAAATAATTCACATGAATTCTGGTATGACACCTTAACGATTAGGCGTGTTGATCCATCAAATTTTTTTATCATACCTTAACAACAATTAGACATGTCGATCCATCCCATTTTTATTTCTGATGTTTATTAATTAAAGTTCGTGTAAAAAATATGTATATTTACTAAAAGAATAAGGATTAAATATGACTAGCAACTGTCCTATATAGGCTATATTTAATTAGTTTTTCTCCTCATTAACTGTTGTTAATCATGTTTTAATAAAGCTAAAAACCTGTTAATTAAGGAACAATTATTATAACATCTTTTAAATTACGCCGGACTTAATAGAGGTCAAAAAGTTGCGACAAGGGCTCTGCAATATGGCATGCAAGTACTTGTGTGAGAGAGAGAAGGAGAGATGTACGTACCTGCCAAGGAATCAAGAAAAGTTGACTTTCCGGACCCAGAAGGACCCATAACGGCCATGATCCGACCCGGAAGAGCATAACCCGTCAGCCCATTTATCAGCCTCTTTGTCGGCCCATTCCCAAAATTCGGCAGTACCGCCGTCAAGTCCTCCCATGTTAAGAATACGCCGCCGCCCTCCGCCCCTCCGCCGCCGCCCATCTCGACGTCCTGCGTGGTACTCCTATGAAGCTGAGGAGCTGCTGTCTCGATCTCCATATTTCTAATTTTCACATACAATAACTTTTGAGTGAAAGATTTTTTTTTAAAGAAAATGAGTAATTACTTTTTTGGAATAATTGTTGGAATTTCCTGATGGATGGTGTTGTTACCAGATATAATTGAATGCGGCCATGAATAGAGTAGCAGGGTGGAGGTTGAGAGAAAGTGAGGCATTTATATTTACTTCATTTGGGGAAAAAGTATCGTGTTGATAACATTTAATTTGGGAGCTTTTTGTAAAGAATTGTTTATTAGAAATATGGATATTTTGTATGTAATTGGACAATAATTCATTCAAAATAAAATATTTTATAGGAAAAATTCAACATAATTTAAGCATTGTTCATTAATTATTTAATCTCTTTCACTTAAAATATATTTTATTTCAAAACTAACAAAATAAAAATTATTTATTTACTAATAAAGAATACAATGTTATACATTCATTTCAGGAGAAAAAAAAAAGTCTCTACTCTATATAAGGGCAAATAAAGAAACCGTCCCTATGTTAATTGGCCATTTATCCAAAGCAAAAATTGAACATGGTCATGTTAGAAAAAAGATGAATATGGGTGAACATAGGTCGGTAGGGTTCGGAGATTAAAAAAATCTCTAGTATCGTACCAAAATTCGAATATCACTAAAGTTGATTTCCAGAATTATACCAAAAAATTAGGGCGGTTCGGTTCGGAGATTTTTATTTTTCGGTTCGGTATTCGGAACTATCGGAATGGTTCAATTCGGTACAGTTCGGTTCAGATCTTCGGAGATTTCATATTTTTTTAATTTTTTTTTTTGAATGACTTCTTAGTTATATTTAAATTTTTATATGCTTAAAAAAACATTCATCAATACTTCATCAATATTGAAGATTTTATTTTTGAAATAAACTTTAGAAATAACCCTAAATTTTAGTTATTTAATTTTTATATGTTTTTAAAAACCATCATTCATCAATACTTTCTCATATTAAATATTTTGTTTTGAAATCAACTTTATAAGTAACTCTAAATATTAGTGAACACTAAATTTGTGCAACTAATAGTGAAAATTAGTCTTTTCTTAAAAATTATTCTTTAACCTTTCATACCATTTTAAATATTTTTTTTATGACAGGAAAAATTCAGTTGTAGATCAAGTATTATTAAGCATGAAATTTAATTGAAGCTTATTAATTGTTATTACTATATTTTATTTGCATTTTAAAATTTCTCAAATTATATAGGATGAAAGTTGACATAAAATATATTAATAACACACATATAATGTTATAATTTGGTCTTTAATTTCGGTTCGGTACGGTATGAGACGGTTCGGTTTGGTTCTCGATACGGATACTTGTGAAATCTCCAGAACCGTACCAATTATTTTTTCGGTTCGGTTCGGTTATGAGAAAGTCAAACTGTCAACAATTATATTTTGGTTCGGAGTGATTTCGGTTCGGTTTTCAAAACAGTTCGAAATTCTCTGAGTCCCACAACCCTAGTAAATAGGCAAGTTTACCTTACTACACATTTTAATATTTTTATTTATACTTATATTAAAGGGAGTACTATTTACCAAATTAAGTAGTCAGAAAAGTCAACAACATTTATTGCATTACTATTTCCGTATTATACAATCTATACTTATATAAAGGAGATTCTATTTACTACATTTATTATCCAGAAAAGTCAACTGCATTAAATGTCATTACTATTTTGGTATTATAATATTTTATTTATTTAATTGATTTATTTATTTATTTTATTTTAAAAAGGTAATTATAATAACAAGATTTTAATGATAAAAAAATCAAATACCAAATAAAAATGTACACTTTGACTTATTTGATTAAATTTGGTATTTGATTATACCATATATATTCCTATTTAGTATATACATTAAGTACTTACTAAAGTATTTATTTGTTTTATTTGTCAAAGTCAAGTATAGATTTATTTATATTATCAAATCATAAAAAAATATTAAATCCATATTGTAAAAAAAAAATCATATAATTTCATAACAATTCTACTACACTATTTAACAATATTTTTTTTATTATATAATAAAACAATAATTAAATATTATATAGTGAACAACAATAAGTAAAACTGTTACTTTCTCTTATATCAAGGGATAAATTATATGCTAAAATTAAATTTTTATTAGTATAAATGTTTTAGTGAGATAATATATTAATTATTTTACAAGCTAGCCCTAACATGCTCATATTTAATGTTTTAAAAGATGTAGAAAAAAACTTATAATAACTCTATTGTTTTTTAGACTTAAACGTTGATTAAAAGAGATAAAAGTTCCTAATTTTTTAGACTTAAACGTTGATTAACACCATAGATTGAGAGTTTATATTTAGTAAAATTCTTAATTGTAATAAAAATAATAATTTTTGCTATATTTTAGAATATCTTTAAATTCATTATAAAAAAAAAGAAAAAAAACTACAATGAAAAAAGCAAGTCAGCTATATATTGATTTGTTGTACTCCTCAAATCACATTCAGAATTTGGCTACAAGAAAAGGAAACTCATTAATTAAAATATTATTTTGTCAGTAGTCTTACTGTACAACAGACTTTAAGACTCCACTTGAATATTATAAAACTTTTATTGAACATTGTACAATTTTCTTGCGTATTATAAATATTTTTTGAATATTGCATCTTATAATATAATATTCTCCAAATAAATATGTCTTGTGCTTCGCACGGGTCACGTACTATATATATCCCGTACATTTTTCTTTATTCATGTATATAATTATAAGCCTGAATAAATAGCCTTAAAATTGTGCACCCCGTGCATCGCACGGGCTCTGTACTAGTTTTATAATAACTGACAAACCATCTCATGCGCAAATTATCGAAGTTACTATACTCATTTTGAACAAAAATAAAGAAAAATGAATATGTTGTCCTGTGAAAAACGGCATTAAAAATTTCAACCGCATGTACAACTATTGAAAGCATTTTATGTACAAACTAGTGCGTGGCCCGTGCGATGCACGGGAAAACAATATTACGATTGTATTAAAAATTAAATATATAAATAACATTAATCATGATTTATCCATTGTTCTTAAATTAAACCGGGTTGGACACAGTCCGACCGGATGGACCTAGAACCGGTTTATAACCAGTATAGTTCGCTTCAATAAAATATTTGCTTTCGAATCCGTCAACACTAGTCGGTTGGACTGGTAGGATCGATACGATTTTCTAATAAATTTTTTTATATTTAAAATTATTTTAAATAAAATAGAGATTTATAAATTATTTATCAATTGGGTTAAACATTTGAATTTATAAATTGTTTAAATATCTAAGTAACGCATTTTAATTAAATTTATTACAAAAAGTACTATATATATATATATATATATATTCAAATGTTTATAAATTAAAATCTAAACAAACCACAAATGATTTAATAAAATAGCTTGATCGTTTCGATGACGGTCCGGTTCTGAAAACTTTATATTTATTGTACATTAATAAATATTATAATAAAATACTAATTAATTCACATAAATATTAATAAAATGATATATAAATATTTATAAATCATTAAACATGTTGTCGTAAAAGTATTGTTAATACGATTATTTGAAGTTTGGACTACATCACATTCATGTAATAAAATATTTTCAATATAAAATTTATATTTAGGTTCAATAATCGATTTGGTGTGATCGAACTGATACATAACTTAGCCACCTGACACCAACCAAGTTGTATCAAGTTTTTTACTATTTTAAATATCGCCTAAAAGCAATTCAATCAACCTTTGCAGTACCCCAATTCAATCACCCGATTGATCCGAAGAAATTTTCTTATTTTCTTTAAATATATTTAATTTTATGAAATAAAAATATTTTATGATTCATATAATAAATGTCTACACCAAATCCCTGCCGCGCCGTGAAGATAGTTCCCCATCGCTGTTTGTGGTTTTTCCGACGAGCTTGTTGATTCTCCGAGCAGCAGCGTCCGGCGACTTCCTGACGAGCCCGTGAACCAGCAGCAGCGACTTCTTCCTCTTCCCCGTGCATCGAGCCTTCCTTTTTCCGGCGAGACGAGTTTACCGTCGAGCCCGTTCGGAACCATTCTCGCTCGATTCCCGAGAACGGTACCTCGTCGTTTTTCCGTCTCGTTTAATTCATATATGTTTCGTTGAATTGTTCATGTTCGTGAAGTGCTCGTGTTATATATGATGTGAATTTATTATGTGAATTTATTATGTGAATATGTGCGATTATATGAATTGTTGTGATTGTATGTGTTCGTATGTTCGGGATCTCTTCGATTTTCTAAAAAATCGAACGAGACCTCGAAAGTCGTGTAAGTCGGTGGATATTGGAACAATGTCGAGTCCTTGGTCTTATGAAAAGGCCTCGGACGAGAAATGTTATGTTGTGATTTAATTGCCAAGTTGTCGAGCTTGTAAATCGCTGTTTCGGTGTTCGAATTTTTAAAAATAGCTCGCTGCTCGAAACGATTTGAAATTTTGAGAGATGAGTTATCTGTCCATTGCCTGCCTTGTGTAAAATTTTCGTAATGTTTGGAGGCCTGTAGCTATTTGTTTATAATTAAATTGTAATCTGTCCAGAATAATGTTTAATGCATAAAAAATTCATGCCTGACTGAAATGAGCTAAAATTCGAATATGTCATGCCTCTGTGACTTATATGTGTTGTGTAAACGTTTTAGAATTTTTGGAGTTGATTTGATGTGGTAAATATTTTATTTATCGAATCTGCAGAAACGTTGTTTGAATTTTTATAAATTGGTTACTGCACGAAAAATTCTGAAATTTTACTGAGAGGCATATTTTGGGTGTTTAATCATGTTTATGAAATATGGGAATTTTTGGAGTCCGTTTTAATTCAGTTTGGATTTAAATTCGATAAACTGCTGTTGCTCGTATGAATTTTTAAAAATGGCAGCAGTTATCATTTAAAGCTGAGATTTTTATACATGAAATTTAGCATACTGTATGGTGCTGTGTAAAATTTTCAAGTTCAGATTCATTCATTAACTCTGAGTATGAATCCTTGTGCCCATTTTGCTGATATCTTGTTCGAATTTTATAAATTAGGATATTTCGAGTTTAAAGCTGAAAATTTGTAGTTTTACATGTTTCTGGAAGATGAAATTTTGTGTAAATTTTCAGAG